TCGTATGTGTTCCATAAATAGAATTTTCGCCTTCAATAGAGTTAAAGTCAATCACGGGTCACTTATAAATTAAATCCCTTTCATGGCCCTTTTACTCGATCACAGATTCGAGTTAATCCTCGTTTCAAATTATTTTTACTCTCCTTCTCGCTAATTTAAGAATTTCTCCCCATACCCTCATTCTGTCCCTACAATTAGTGCATTTCGATTTTTTGCATTGTATATTTTGACTTACCAATTCCGCTAAAAGCTAAATATAAATTTTCGCTCAACTTTTTCACGAAGCGCTAACCACATGAAATGGTGCCTTTTGATTTTGTGCACATCAAATTAGTTTGGTAATTTGATGTAATTGTGGATAAGTATACGAAAGTGTCTGAATCGCACTGAAACACACATACACACCCATTCTCACACCAAATCGAATTACAGAGCAACATCGCAAAATCCTTTGTGAAGTTTTTTTGTTCATTTGCGAAAATCCTTGCTTTCTCGCACTTAACTATTTTCATTTAAATCCTTTTATTTTCAACTTCTACTTCCTCCCAATGACCATTTGACGACGTTGTTGGTATATCGTGTAGAATCTTCTAACTTGTTTGGATTCCAACCTAACAAGTTGCCATCAGTAACCACACCCCACAATAGGTCAGTGCTGCTGGGGAGTGGGATGTGTTCTTGTTGTTATTTCGACAGGAAAAAGTTCGAACCCAAATAGGTTGTAATCAGTTGCATTTGTGGTGTTAGTTTTGGCTATTTTTGGAGTGCAGGAAAGGGGTTGTGATTTAAGGTGTTATTTTTTAGTTTAAATGGAGGTTAGTTGAAATTAGAGTTAAGAGCCTCTATTAGACCTATACATGGTCTGCTATTTATGGAACATATGTGAAGAGAGCTCCAGGTCTTCTAACCAATTTCTATTGACGAAGATGGCCTTTAAGGCCTTCTATGGGACATAGATGGAATTGAAGTCCTTCTATTGGACATAGAGGAAAAGGGTTGTGATTTAGGGTTTTTTTTTTGTTGTTTTTAATTGAATGGATGTTAGGTTAAACTAGAGTTAAGTACCTCTAATAGACCTCTACGTGGTATGCTATCTATAGAAGATATCTGAAGAAGAGCTCTTGGTCTTCTAACTAAATTCTATTGACAAAGATGGCCTTTAAGGCCTTCTATTGGACATAGATGGCCTTTAAGGCCTTTTATTTATTTTGATGGTCTTTAAGGTCTTCTATAGGACATAGATGGTCTTTAAGGCCTCCTTTTGGATATAGATGTCCTCAAAGGCCTTCTATGGGACATAGATGGCCGTTGAGTCCCTCTATTGGGCATAGATGGCTTTTAGGGCCTTCTATGGGACATAGATGGTCTTTGAGTCCCTCTATGGGACATAGATGACCTTTAAGCCCCTCTATTGGGCATACATGGCTTTTAAGGCCTTCTATGGGACATAGATGGCCTTTGAGTCCCTCTATTGGGCATACATGGCTTTTAAGGCCTTCTATGGGAAATATATGGAATTTAAGGCCCCCAACATTTTATGGAGGGTGTATTAGCTTTGCCATTCCGCTTGTAACTCCTCTAAATATTTATGATAGACCCTACAAAATATAGATATTTTGGATCAGCGTAAAATTCTAAGACGATTTAGCGATGTCCGTCCCTCTGTGTTTCTGTCTGGCTTTTGTAAGCATGCTACCGTTCAAACGTATTGAGGTAGAAGGCTAAAATTTTGCACACGTGTGTATTTAGGAAGTAGTCAGGTTAAGTTCGTAAATCGGCCATGTCGGTGCATGTTTTCATATAGCCCCCATATAACGGTACCTCCCGATATTCTGTATTTTAATGATTTCAGCTGCATAAAACGGTACCTCCCGATATTTTGTATTTGGATGATTTTAGCGACATTATCCAACCGAATCGTTTCAAATTTCGTATTCGAACTTTGTAAAGGGTACTACAGCCAATGCCTAAAACTTTCGTATGCAGGTGCACATCTTCGTATATAGTTCCTTCCAAATGTTGGAGGGTATCAAAAGTTCGGTCCGGCCGAACTTGGCAGTTTTGTTACTTGTTATTATACCCTCCACCTTGGAAAGGAGGGTATATTAACTTTGTCATTCCGTTTGTAACATCCTTAAATATTCGCCTTAGACCCCATAAAGTATATATATTCATAATCAGCATAAAATTCTAAGTCGATTTAACGATGTCCGTCTGTCTGTTGAAATCACGATATAGCCCACATTATTTGACGTAGAGCGCCAAAATTTAGCAGAGCTATTTGCATTATGTCTAGGATGGTTGGTATTGAAAATGTGATATATCGGTCCACGTTCTGGTATAGTCCCCATATAACAGTACCTCCCGATATTCGGTATTTTTATGATTTTTGCCACATTTTTTCACGGATTGGTCTGGAAATTGGTATTTGTAGGTCATAACGGGTTCCTGAGCGTGTGGCAAAACATTGCATGTATAGGACCACGTTGTGGTATAGCCCCCATATAAAGGTACCTCCCGATATTCGGTTTTTTAGTTTTTTTTTTTGCCACATTTTTTCACAGATTTGTCTAAAAATTGGTATTTGTGGGTCATAATGGTTTCCAGCTCCGGTGGCGAAACATTGCATGTATGGGTCCATGATTTGGTATAGCCCCCATATAACGGTACCTCCCGATATTCGGTAATTTGATGATTTTTGCAACCTTTTTTCACGGATTTGTCTGAAAATTGGTATTTGTTGGTCATAATGGGTTCCAGCTCCGGTGGCGAAACATTGCATGTATAGGTCCATGATTTGGTATAGCCCCCATATTACAGTACTTCTCGATATTCGATATTTTGATGGTTTTTGTCACATTTTTTCACTGATTTCTCTAAAAATTGGTATTTGTGGGTCATAATGGGTCCTAATTCGTGTGGCGAAACATTGTAATTATAGGTCCACGGTTTGGTGTAGCCCCCATATAACGGTACCTCCCGATATTCGGCATTTTAATGGTTTTTGCCACATTTCTTCTAATGTTTCTTTTACCCTAAGGTGGAGGGTATTAAAAGTTTAGCCCGGCCGAACTTAATGTTTTATTTTTTTTTGCTTGTTAATATTATAACCCCATTCGAATTCATTCTCGCATGGCTTTTTCTATTTGCGGTGTTGGTAGTACTCGTCTCATTGTGTCAATTGTTTGGCATTTTCTGTTCTATTTCTATTCGTACTTCATTTTGGTAATTATTGGAAGTAATGGCATTTTTAACAGGATAATTAGTAAATTGGAAAATAAGCATTTTTGTGTCGATCGAGAAAATGCTCCTTCGAAGTGGTATTGTGTGTATGTATGTGTGTGCTCTAAATATTCGTCTTTTGGATGTGTTTCCAATTGTATGTAGCTGAGTAAGGACTGCTTTTTGCTATCTAAATTCAAAACTTAATGTGTGGAAAATTTTTCAAACATGTTCATCTAATGCTTGGAAGAAACTGCTTATTTTTCAAAATTTGGGGCAAACGTTATAACATTGTTATTGTATTCAGAAGAAGGGGAAAATAGGAAAAATTTTGTGTTAATTTTTTAGATTTTTGAAAATTAATTTTTTTGTTTTTTGGGTTTTAAATATAAGTGAGACTTAATGTGCGTAAGTCAAATGTCTATATTTTGCAGATACGAAACTAATAAATATTGATACACTTTGTATTTGCATTTCAAAATTATTTTGGTCAAAATTTCGATCATAAATTTTAAATAATCCTTTCATTTCAAAAAATAGAAGATGTCATGCATTGCTCTCTCAAAATTATCTCCATTTCGCTATTATTATCATCTTGTCATAATCCACAATAGAAAAAAGAAAACCATCATCATTCATATCATGCAAGCTGCTGTAGCAAGATTTTCTCCATCGTCGAACAAATACAATAGATTCTTTAGCAAATACGATTACCAGAACGTGATATTAATAGAAAATCCAGTTGCATTTCCCACTCCCGGTTTTGTTGCAAAATTTCGACCAAGGATACGCATGTTTTTCTATTAAGTTTCCTTTTCTTCATGGCTACCATGAAGAGACCAGCTAGCCACAAGCATTCGCCCAGCCATCCATCCATCCATTCATCCATCTAACGATAATAGCTCTGTGGAATGTGTGCAATATAATCAAGTATGAATGAGGCAACGAATTACTCGCTTCTAGTATTGGAGAAAATGGATTATTTGTTTAGTTACCAATTGCCTGAAAGATAAAACGAATGGAATCTTTCAAATATTTTATTTACGAAATGCCTGGAATATATGTGAAATACAAGATATTATTCAAAAAAAAAAAAAAAAAAAAAAAAAATTGAGGGCCAATATTGACAAAAAGTTTTTTTTTATTTTTATATCTTTAAGCACTTATTTTACTGAACTATTGGACATGCACAATCGATGCAAATGCATTGCAATATTTTTCCATCATGTGTCGTCCCTTTCACTTTTCGTTTTTTTTTTCATAGCATTTGAATATCATTGTAAGAGTCATTGTTCGGAGCTTTTACTTTCGAAAATACTTGGATTATTGGTCACTGAGGCCTAACTTTGGTTCATGCCTACTTACTTCATTCCATCCAGACGTTATAGCTGAGTAGCATTGCCATCGAACCGTAACTAATAGCTAAATGCAAAGTGGAAAATAATAATGGATTTCCCCGTTATTATACCAATATTAGATTCATAATCACAATGTGCAAAATTGTATGCACCAGTGCTATATGCCGAGGACAATTTGCAACAAGTATTTATTTTAAGCCGACAAAATGGTGTTGACCTTTTGAAATATCAAGGTAAAAGTCAATGAAGAGGGTGATATTAATAAAAAATGTTTGTAATTTCCATTTTATAGCAGTCTAGGGATCCACGGGGTTGTGCTTTAATTTTTTTTAAATTTTTAATGTATTTTAATTTTATATTCACCCTAAAGAGTAATAGACGTTGTTTTTAAATGGAACATACTTTTCTCCCTCTTTTCAG